TAGAACAGTAACATACCAGTCTTAATGTTATTCCAGTATATAATTAGACTAGAACAGTAACATACCAGTCTTAATGTTATTCCAGTATATAATTAGACTAGAACAGTAACATACCAGTCTTAATGTTATTCCAGTATATAATTGGATTAGAACAGTAACATACCAGTCTTAATGTTATTCCAGTATATAATTAGAGTAGAACAGTAACATACCTCTCTGAATGTTATCCCAGTATATAATTAGGTAGTCATCCCGGTCTGATCTGTTCTGTTCATGGAAGAAGCCTATAGCATGTCCTAACTCATGGACGATAGTTCCAGGATAGATACACCCATTACCTAGTGATAAGTCCTGTCCTCCTCTGAAGATGTTTCCAACGTATGAGTAACATCTATAACGAAAGATTGTCTTTAGTTTTAAAAGGATTTCCCAAAGAAAGGTGGAACCTTATCGCATCAGTTATTTTAGTCTGGCATTTTTTTAAAGTGATTAAATCAGAAAAAGCAATTTTAACCCACGCGCTAGAAGGGTAAACAAATCATACTTAAAGTAACAGGATTGACCACTTGTGTCAGATAATAATGGTGTAATTTTTAAATTCAGCCATATAGTATGTTATATATATAAAACGTTCTGAGACTACGTTATCAGTTATTAATGTTGACTCAAAGCTTTTATAATGAATCCTACCAATTGTTTGCCTTCCATTACTATAAGTTGTTTTCTGTACTTCGCTCCCTAGTAATATATTGATGAATCGTGACTTCAACATAGTTAGTGCGATAAGCTATATTCTCAACGTTTTAATTTAGATGTTTGTTGATGCAATATAAATAAGGTTAATTGTTACGTAATGATCGAAAAGCTTTGTCATATATCTGGGATATAGTTGTAATATGAGTAATCAGTGATGATTGAGTTAGTAAGTGATGTATCCAAGGTGTAAGTTATGTAGATCAGTTTTATTAGCAAGATTATCACGTGTATTCAGCTCCTCGATCTATTAGCCGTAAATGTTTACAAATAAGTTTAGTTTTATTTACAATAATTTTTAGAGTATGTTCAAAAGTTTGTTTGTGAACTTAGGCCTACAACTTGTGTTAAAGTGACCGTATTATGTAGACACGTTATAGAAGAAATAAATTAATTCGTTATCGTTACATGGACTGATCTTGGGTTACTTTTACCAGATAGCCTAAAACAATCCCGCCCATCTACAGAATACGTTACAACACTAGTCTACTACCAGAGGGAGTAGCAAAGAAAATCTACGTCATTCTCTGTTTACGTATTATTGAGGAGGAGAAAAAATCACAATGTTAACAATAGCATAACAATGAATGAATGAATTCAATTATGATCATGTTAAAAACATGGTTGGTAAACAAAACTCAATTTAATGAAAGTATTAACTCAAGACAGTAAGTGTAATTTGTAGCGACGTGGTTTTTCATTAAATTAGTTTCTGTTACATATTCTAACAATGTAAGTATTGTTGCGTCAGCGAGTCACATGACTACAGTGACGCAACGTTTCTAGAACTATCATGTACTTTGGCG